AAGAGTGGCCAAAGATTTCTTGCATTCAATGCATAATTATCAACAAGAAAGTGATCATATAAGTGTATTGTTCAGGTGTGTAACTAATAGCTTTTCGCTTGCCTTTTGCCATCATATATTGGAGTTTTCTGTTGGACAAAACAAAGATGCACTTACTTATGTGCTCTTGGTATTATTATGTAATAGAATTTCATCTTGTGACCTGTGTTAATCTTTAATGCAAACATTTATCATGCTTTTTATCAAAGTGAAACTTCTTTGTTAATTGAAAAACAATACCAAAAGCAGTTAAAAAACTGTATATAAGTTTTTCCATTTGCAATATCTTTACAAGGATTGCTTTATTATGGATTTATGTAGGAAAGCCATTGTTATTTCTTGGCATCATTGGGAAGTAGTCTACAATACTGATACAGACTCGGAAGTAGCAGACTATTGAAGCTTAATAAATGTAGGAACTGCATGACTACAAGTTGAATCTGAAGATCCTTGATGCTGAGTATTAGATTTTGAGAGATTTCTGACTTGAGAAAATTGCATTATTCAACCCACTGTTGTATTAGATTCTTCCATCATCAATCAGTACTTTTATGGGAGAATCTTGGCTAGTCATTGTTCAAAGGTGATAAATGTTGTCACTACTTTCCTTTCTTCTGTAAACATCAGTTGCAGCTTCCATTTGCATGTAGCAGTTATACCAAACCCCCTGTTCCATTGTCTTGTTAATTATTTATGAAACCTTATATTCTGTGTATTTTGTACTTCTCAAAACTGAAAACTTTTCATCATTGCCTTCACTCAATATTTCACTGATCCTCTTTAGTCTATGCATCCAACTTGAGTACTTTAAGTCGGTGCTTTTATGGTTTTTGCTATCCTGGGTTTCACTTTTTTCAATCTGCCTCAGTAGTGAGGATTTGCTTTTGCCTCTTAAATCTTGTACTAAAACGACTTGGCAGTTCTTAAAAGTAGGATGGCTTGTGTAGGAAGAATCTGTTACCAACATAGATGCAAGATCATAGAAGAAAAAATGCAAGTTCTAGTATACTAGATTGCACCAGTGGATTGGCATCACGTCATCAAGATTAAAAAATATTTTTTCTTAAATTATTTTTCAACTTTATCAATATAACATTAGTAATTATTCTAAATACTAAATAATTATCTACTAATAAAAAAAAATATATGCATAATATAATATGTAACTGGTGGAATTAAATTATTTTAGACTATTACATCTTTAATTAAACAAAAAAGTTTAAATGAGTAATTGAAGAGTAGAACTCAAATAATTTATTGATAATTTGATTTATTTACGCTCCTAGTCACAGTAGTCTTATCTCATGATCTCAAAAAAAAAATCATATTCTAAACACCACTAAGCCAAATTCATTTATACTATAAAATTCTATGTTAAAAAACTAATTTTCTCTGTTTTTGTTTATACTTTTTAATATTTCCTATTATTATCGCTTCTTTTCTCAAATTAAGATGCTAGATCCACAGTACGTGGGTCTGTGTAATTATCATAATGTACAATCCTGCTAAAAATTATCGTTACTGCTAAATGCTGATATAGCATATTCAATCATGAGTGATGAAAATAGATATTGTTTAACATTTGTCTCTTCGATTCAAATTATGTTTTTTCTTGTCAACACCATTAGTGGAAGATCTAGATTAGATTTACTCCTTTTGTTGGATATAATAAATAAATTTAAATATGTTTTTAGTTATTAAATTTACGATAATATTATTTTTTATCCCTTAAATTTAAAATTGGTTATAATTTCAAAATATCTAGTTTTAGTCTTTATATTCTAATTTTATTAGAAATATTGTTGCATAAAATCTACTTATTAGTATTAGTGTTCCTGATAGTAAAAACATCACATTAAATCTAGATAATTAATAGAGGATTGCTAGAGAACAATTCTACACTAGGTTAATGCTAAGAAGATACTCATTCCTCGCCTCAAAATAGTCCTTACAATCAAATAAAAAGGAATTTTAAAGACTCTGGTTCCTACACGTGTAGGACCTTGATTCTAGGTTAAGAAAACATAAATAATAATTGGAACAAATTGTTGGACTCTAATTTAAACTATTGGCCTTTTAAGGCCCAATTCCTTAAAACGTGTAATCTTTAAATTTGAAAGGTCTTGTGGTTATTCTTTTGGGCCTTCCACCTGTATCAATACCAGCCCGATCACCTTTGACATTGTCCTCAATGTCATTGGGCATGGAGATGAAGTCACGGATCGAGGCTGAGGTGGACACATGTGATGCGTTTGTGTTTTGTGTGGACGGCTGGGATGAAGCGGTGGAAAGTGGAACGTTGGCATTAATTGACTTCTTAATGACATGGGCACGTGTTGGGGCAAACGAAGCGGTGCCCACTTCATCAAAACACGCAACAGCATTGCTATGTGTAAGATGTGGGGCTTCTTCCGAGTTGGTGCGAAAGGATGAGAGCGTCAAGGGTGTAGCTGGACGGAGCTGATCCGGAGTTGGTGGAAGTGGACGAAAATGATGAATGGGATCAGCACCTTTGTATGGGCGGAGTAGGGAGACATGAAACACCGGGTGAATTCGAGCAGTTTCGGGCAACAACAATTCATAAGCTACCAAGCCGATGCGATGGTGAACGCGGAAGGGCCCATAGTATCGCTTGGCTAGTTTCTGCGACGTTCGGCGCGACAACGACCTTTGACGGTATGGTTGAAGCTTGAGCAAGACCCAATCCCCCGGTTGAAAGGTAATATCACGACGGTGTTGATCTGTGAAAAGTTTCATTCGCTGCCGTGCTCGAGAGAGGTGTAGTTTGACCTCTTGTAAAATTTCTCTATGTTCTTGTAGGAGGAGCTGAACAGTTGTGGAAGATGGGCCTCGTAGAACATCCACCGGGGTAGGCGGGGAGCGGCCATACAAGGCGTGAAAAGGGGTGGTGCCGATGCTGGTGTGGAACGATGTGTTGTGCCAGTATTCGGCGAGATGAAGGTACTGATACCAAGCACGGGGGTGATCACTCACAAAACAACGGAGATAAGCCTCCAAAAAGCGATTCAAGACCTCTGATTGACCATCCGATTGGGGGTGATACGAGCTAAAGGCCAGCGTGGTGCCTTGAGCCCGAAAGAGTTCGCGCCAAAAAGAACTGACAAATAGGGGGTCCCGATCCGAGACAATGGATTTCGGGCAGCCATGAATTTTGAAAATTTCCACCATAAACCGGCGAGCTAGTTGAGGAGCGGTGAACTTGGCCGGAAGTGCAAGAAAATGAGCGAACTTTGTTAAGCGGTCACAGATAACCCAGATGGTAGAATGCCCAAAAGATTGAGGTAAGTGAGTGATAAAGTCCATTGAAATGTCTTCCCATACTCTGTTGGCTTGCTTGAGGGGTTGTAATAAACCAAATTTTTTTGTGGGTAGGTACTTATTTGTGTTGACATTCCGGGCACGCACGGATGAACTTGCGAGCATCAGAGTAAAGGCTAGGCTAATAAAAAGCGGCAGCAAGACGACAGACCGTGGGTTTCAATCCAGAATGACCGGCAACCGGGTGCAATGGAATTCCTTGAGTAACTGGAGGCGAAAGTCTTGAATGTCAGGAACAAAGAGGCGTGATTTAAAATATAATAGCCCATTATGAAAGGTAAACACTTCTTGTTCCGGATTTTGGTGAAGCAAATTCGTAACTAACGTCTGACCATCCGACTTGAAATATTCTTGCCAAGGTTGAATAAATGTTGGAACGGGTGAGGAAATGTGAAATAAGATGGGCGGGGCTGGTTCCGATCGTGACAACGAATCAGCCACAATATTCTGTTTGCCTGGCCTGTATAGGATATCAAAATGGTAGCCCAAGAACTTAATGGCCCATTTCTGTTGCTCTGGTGTGTGCACTGCTTGGGTAAGTAGATTCTTCAAACTCTTTTGATCTGTAATGATTTGGAAATAGTGACCAATTAGATATTGACGCCATTTCTTTATCGCTTCTGTGATAGCAAACATTTCGCGCACATAGACAGATGCAGCTTGGAGTTTTGGGCAAAGGCGCTTGCTGAAGAATGCTATGGGATGACCATGCTGAGATAAAACGGCCCCAATTGCATTGCCCGAAGCATCGGTGTCAATAACGAATGGAACGGTGAAGTCAGGAAGAGCCAAAACAGGGACTGTTGTAATCTTATGTTTTAATTCTGTGAATGCTTGTTGTGCCTGAGGATTCCATTGAAATGAAGGAGAACGTAACAAATTGGTGAGGGGAGTGGCAAGAGACGCGTAATTACGCACGAATTTGCGGTAAAACCCCGTTAAGCCTAAGAACCCGCGTAGAGCCGTGAATGATCGCGGAGGGGGCCAGGCCACAATAGCCTGAATCTTCTCTGGGTCAGGTAGAACGCCCTTGCCTGAAATGATGTGGCCCAAATAGGCCACTGATTGCATTGCAAATACACACTTGGAGAATTTGGCATAAAACTGGTTAGACAATAGGAGCTGTAGAACAGAAGTCAAGTGGGACAAGTGATCTTGAAATGAATTACTATAGACCAGTATATCATCAAAAAACACAAGCACACATTTTCGTAAAAATGGTCTTAGTAATTCATTCATGGTCGCTTGAAACGTAGAAGGAGCATTAGATAAACCGAATGGCATCACTAAAAATTCATAATGACCATCAAATGTGCGAAAAAGCAGTTTTATAAGTATCGGAAGAATTTACTCTAATTTGATGATAACCGGAACGTAGATCAATCTTAGAAAAAACCTGAGCAGAACCGAGTTCGTCTAGCAATTCCTCAATTGTTGGCATAGGGAAACAATCACGAATGGTTATGGCATTAAGGGCCCGGTAATCCACACAAAAACGCCAAGTACCATCTTTCTTTTTAACTAGTAAAACTGGTGACGAAAATGGACTAGTACTAGGCTTAATAATTCCATCAGTTAACATTTCTGTAATGAGGGTGGTCATAAGAGTCTTTTGGGAATGAGGGTAACGATAGGACTTAATATTAACAGGGGTGGAATTTGGCATGAGGGGGATATGGTGATCTTGGGGACGATGTGGAGGAAGACCTTTAGGTTTTTGAAAAACTTGTTGGAATGTGGTTAAGAGGTTGCGAATCTCAGTGGGGTATGAAACAAGTATGGAATCAGAAAAGGGTAAATGTGAGGGAGGTTCAGGATGTGAGACTTGGAGTAGGTGAAGGGAAGCCACGGAATCTTGGTGAACATAGTGGCACAGTTGGTGAAAAGAGGAAAAGGTAGGGGAGGCCGAGTCACCTGTAAGAGTGACCGAAGTATCGTGATGTTGAAAAGTAAGTGTAGGCACCGAAAAGTCTGCTTGAATTGGACCTAATGTGCGAAGCCAGGCAACCCCTAGAACAACATCAGCACCTTCAATAGGAATGACATAAAGTGGAACACATAAGGTAGCCTTTGGAAGAGTAATAGGCACATTAGAGCACACTTGATCACAAGTAATAGAGTCACCATTGCCCACCATAACTTTGAACGGGGAAGTGGGTGTCGTAACCAACTGTAAATGACGAGCTAAACGGGGTTGGATGATATTGTAAGTGCTACCCGAATCAATGAGGATCATTATCGAACACCCATTAATATAGCCTTTAAATTGCAGGGTTTGGGGTGAAGGAATACCAGTGAGTGCTTGAGCTGAGAGTTGAAAGTGAACAGCTGGGTTGGGCTCGTAATCTGCCAAATTATGTTCTTCCAATACCGCATCTGTGGCTGGGGACTCCCACTCAGAATCATCATGAGAAAGTAACAACAAGTAGTTGGGGGTGGCACACTTATGGCCTGGGTGGAACCTTTCATCACAATTATAACAGAGGCCCGTCGCCCGACGTTCTTGTAACTGTTGGGATGTCATCCTTTTAACG